TTCCAAACTACTGCTGGCTGCGGCGGGAAATTGATATCATACGCCTTGTAGATCTTGATGCATACGTCCAACGCTTTCAAAAAGATTGGCAGCTTATATGACACGACGTTGTTCCACACTGTAAAGCTGGTGGGATATCTCCAATCCGGCCCGTGAACTATAATAAACGGAGTAGACGAAATGCCCCTATCCCGGCATCCTTTAAACAAGCGAGACAATGTTGATTCTAAGTCCGACAGTTGTTTCACATGAATCGCAACTCCGTTCTGCGCTTCGCTGTACGATGGCTTCCAAATCTTTTTACCGATACACTTAACATGTGTACGAGGAAGAATGTGAGCCAGCAGAGGCACGATTACATAATTCCTGGCATCTGAAACACAAGTAAACAAACAATCAGTTTTATATTCAGCAGTCTGTATCATGTTAATGCTTACCTTCTGAAATATCATCAGCATTTAAGCATGCAAGGAGGGACTTGCCATTAGCATCTGCCACTTCAACCTGCAAGATATCTTGAGTAGCTGCAGCGAACCCGATCCAACGGTCGAATAAGATTTCTTCCTTCCCGGAAAACTTCTGCTGGAAACCTATCTGAACAAGCTGATAGCCACGGTGGTTCCTGAGTGTGGGATATTCAGCAAGTATCGAAGCGCACGTTCGGTTTTCTGTTTTTGTTATTTCGATCAGTCGCCACGGACTAGATCGCTTCCACTTGACTTTAAGTTCCTCCCATTCGTCTTGGTTATGTTCCATGGTACTCTTATGGTACTCTGCAGCTGAGAAATATAATGTAAAAATTCATATTAGGTAAAGAAAGCCTACATAAACACTTTGTTTTTTTTTATTATACTACCTTCTTCTTCGGAGACGTCAACGGAAGCTTTGCCGGATGTTTCAGAACTTTTTGATTCCTTTCGGTCCCGGTCGATTTCCCTGTAGTTTATGTTTCTATCGTACAAACGACCTTTTGCTTGTTTGCGAATTTTCTTCCTTTTACCTGTGCTGTCCGCGATAAACGTTGGTTGATACCAGGTTTCCTATGGAAAATAAGAAGAAAACAACACATAAATGAATTGTGAACTGGTTACACATGTAGTTACTGAATATAATCACTGACTGTTTACCTGTGGCTCACTGGGAAATAATTGCTTCAGTTCACAAGCTCTATCCAGTAGTTCCGACGATGACGGCTTAGAAAAACGGTTTTTGAACTCGTCAACAATGATGTGGGTGACACTTTTTTTTTGTCAGATCTGGAGAGGAATGCGGTTTTGCTGTACTTCCTTAGGATGGCTTGCCCTTTCGATGACGCGTTCAATAAGAAGGTGGCAGTACAGGCTTCTCGTGTCACTTGAGTCTCTTCAGAGGGCCGCGCGTTGTTGTCTCGGGTTACAGATGAATTGCAAGTAACGGGTTGTTCGCTGACTTTTGAAAGCCTCTGTAATGAAAGGGAATAACTAGTTAGTTGCAATAAACAAGAATAATTTGATGATAATTTACCTGTGCCTCCCTCCAAGAGTCCAATTCATGAATGAATCTGGTTCGCTCTGCAAGAAAAGGCGAAGGAAGGAGTTCCTCAATTTCCTTCCTCTGTATAATTTTCAATGTTTCGATGGTGTAACAACTAACTGCAATAATAATGTTAGGATACCGTAACTGAATAAAAAAAGGATACTACCAACCGAGAAACGCTTCAATAACTCGTTCGGACATTCCATAACTATATAATAAATGTATCAACTCGATTTCTTCAACCAACACCTTTTCTACATCCAGTTCTTCAATAATTATTGAATTATCGGAACCGGAACACATTTTGATACGCAAAACTTTACTGGCACTTGAACAAAATGGCGAATGACGGGTTCGGTTTCTAGCTTCTCCACACTGAACAAAAAAATATAATTCAATCAACAATCATGGTATCTGAATTAATTTTATGTTGCCCTTGAAGTAAACCATGCGTTTTGTTAAATTAACAATTTTGATGCTTTGGAAATTTGAGCAAGAAAACTAAAAATAATATTGTTGTTTAAAAATAAAATTAAAGATGTTTGAACAAAAATAGCACACTGAAACAATAATAAAGCGATCGTTGACCACTACAATATTATTTTTTGTTTTAAACCATCAAAAATTATCTGCGTGTATATGGGACTGATATGCGTTACACGTGAAATATCAATCGGATGCATTTCAAATGAATCGGGCGTGACTAGATACTACATAATCAGTACGTTTGGCATATTAAAACAATATAATTCGTTGCTCTGGTGCAAGACGTAACAACAAGATAAGATGCATCATAGAGTTGAAAGTTGGAAATACGCCATGTAAGAAGACACGTTTTGATGATTTGAAGTGATATTTTCTTCTACTTCTTTTACCCAAGTGAGTAAATGTTACTCACTTTTTGTAAAATTGGCCGATTTTCAAAATGAGTAAGATTTGATTTGTTATTCTATAAAATGAGAAAACCTCTGATGTATTCTGTTAGTAAAATAAAAGAAGGACATAAGTTTTCATGTATAGCCTAATAGTACGTTGATATCATGTAATATAAGCTATTTTGATATCAAATGCCATATATGTATATGATTTTCGGTGAAAATTTGTCTTATATGCTCATTGCTATTTAATATTTTACTATATAGTTATTTAGCATAATTACGATCCTCAACTTGGACTTTTTGGTGACATGTTGTATGTTGTTCACCGTATTCACAGCATGAATGTCGTCACACGGAATAAATTTCAATCTCAGGAACGCCTTGAAGATTCCCATAAAATATAGCTCATATTGCCCAAGAAGCTGAGATGCAGCTTCAACAAACTCTTGGATTTTAGTTTCGGGAACAGAAACATCGCAACGCAACTGTTAACGGTTCCGGCTAGTTGTTCGACATTTATGGAACTTAAAAAAACATTTTTATTAGAAATTTTAGAACAATCTGGTTACAAGACAGCTTCAAGGTTGCAAAGACTCATGTCAGCTAAAACAATGTTTTTCTAAATTATGAAATAATTAGATGCCATGATCAAATTTTGAATTGGTAGGATACAAGAAGAGGTTGCAAAGAATGTGTTTGACATATTAAACCTGTTTATTTCACTTCATGAGAGTCACAATCAGCGATTTTTCACAAACTCACTCACTCACTCACTCACTCAGCGATCAGCAAATCGCTGATTGTGACTCATAGAAAGCAAAATTTACAGGTTTTATGTTTCCAACGCATACTTTGTAACCTCTTCTTGTAAGTTACAAGTAAAACATGCCATCATACCATCTTTTGGTTTTATTATTTCGAAAAACATTATTTTAGCTGAAATGAGTCTTTGCAACCTTGGACAGCTTCAGCTTCAAGCATGCGAGCCAGGTGCGATGGTTTCTACTCCCACATAAACATTTTCTTCTTTTCCCCCTTCCGATTCCGGAGGATGATTCTTTATTATGTGCCGGTTTAATGTTTTGAACCGGGTGTATAAACACCTACATTCGGAGCATTTGAAAGGAAAATCAGCAGCATGGCAGGTATTTAAATTATAAATATATGTTGATAGTAGGATTTCAGTTCTCCCACATATCCTGGAACAAATATTTGACAACCAGCGAAAACCTTGTAAAGATTTAATGAAAGCGCGTTTATGTTTAAATGTTTAATTTTCTTTACCTTTCAATTTGCGGAACGAATCCGAATCCACCACTGCAGCGCTCCATTCTTTCTGATATCAATTTCTTTGAATTCAAATTTTGAAAAAGGAAATCTATACTGAATTTGTTTAATTGTTTATTTTTGTCACCAAGTATTTGACAGAAGCACGGTGAGTCTGGGTGGGGCCTCCCTCAGCTCAGTCGGTAAAGGCGCAGCTACAAAGCAAGACCATGCTGGAGGTGGCTGGGTTCGATTCCCGGGCCGCTCTAGGTATTTTTCGGGTTGAAAAATGTCTCGACTTCCCTGGGCATAGAAGTATGATTGGACTTGCCACACAATTATACCAATGCAAAAATGGTACAGGCATCGAAAGCTCTCAATTAATAACTGTGGAAGTGCATGTAGAACACTAAGTTGAGAGCACGCAATAAGCTAATATGCGATATGCAATAAGCTTGAAATGCAAAGAAGAAGAAGAAGAAGAACGGTGAGTAACATTTATACTGCATTACTCAGAAGTGAGTAAACATTGATTTTAGTCAAACAGAGTAGTAGGTACTCACTTTGCTAAATCAATGCTACTCACTTTTTGACATTTGACACAAAAATACCAAACTGAGTAGAAGTTACTCACTTTTGAATAACATTGTACGAGCGTGTACCTTTAGGCAGCTACCAATCTAGCCTAGCTCTTCTATTTAAATTTTGAGCATGATTCGGTAAAGTTTCTGAGAATATTAATGTAGGCAAATAAAACGCTTCTTTCTTGTTGCTGTAGTTCAAGAAACGGCCCTTAATCCTCAGCTTGCACATCCTCCCGTGATCGGCCGCCAACCGGTTCCCAGCTTGTTGGTGGTGCCACAGCTCTGGTAGAAAGGAGCCGCTCAAGCTAATATTATATCATCTTTATGGATGTTCACTGCACTTCATAATTTAAGTTATATTTATGCAAAAGAAACAACAACAACAAACAATTTAGTGAAATCGTTTAGTTGATGTGACTGGATTCAAAAATGTACAAAATTGGTTGATTGGTTGAGTATATCGCCCCTATAGCAAACCAACGTCCCCTATACCTCGCTTACCCCAAGTCTACAACAAGATCTTCATACTGGGACGATGGACCGTGTTTTACCAGAAATCACTTTATGTGTGAGCTGTAGAAAAATAGTGGTTCAAACTAAGAAATTTCAGACGGGATCATACACATTATGAAAATAATGAACTTATAAAATTAACATTAGTTATTTGTGGAATAGTGGACAGTTTTCTAAATATAACTTGCTGTACGGATATGTTTTTGATACAGTGTATTTTGGTCATGCTCGCACTTGTTTTCAGAGTTCACGTCGAGTCCAAGTGTGGCACAGAGAAGAAATACAAATGCAGCGAGTGTAGCGCTTTGCACCTGACTCAAGCCATGCTGAACACCCACATGATCGAGCATGTGGGTAAACAGAGTCACCAGTGCGACTATTGTGGTTCCAGTTTCACCAACAAGGATCAACTCAACGTGCACGTGAGAATGCACATCGACCCGAAACCCTACAAGTGTAATGTATGTATTTCTAAATAGGTGTTTTTTTTTTTTGTAAAACATTTTTAATAGATGTTTTTTTTTAAGAAATGCGATAAAGCGTTCGTTCGCAGAGATAGTTTGATCACCCATTTCTTGACCCATTCTGGTACAAAGCCCTACAGCTGCAGCTACTGCGACGATCGTTTCTCCTGTATCGGTAAGATGTTACTGATGAGTTCGTTAGTTTTTAAATTTGTAACGTTTGTCATCTTTTCTTCTAGGGAATCTACTTAAACATCGACGAGCTCGTCCGGATACGTGTGGATTACCGCAACACTGCGTATCCAAGAAACCTGTTCCACGACCAAGCATCACCAAATGTGAGTTTCTTTATATTTTGAAATTCAATCTACTATACGTTAGTCTACTTTTCAGCAATGTCAAGTCTTACCGATCGTCCTGTGTACAACAATAAGGTGGTACAAAGCTTAGAATCACAAAAAGTGGGTAAAACTAAATCTTCTGACGCCAGCCGAGATAATAAGCCAGTGATCATCAAGAAGCCTCTGGGACAAAAGTCAACTGTTTCATCAGTTAAATCACCGAAAGATAAGAAAGCAAATAATTCAAAAATTCAGGTGGCTGTAAAACGTGAACGCAAGCAGTCGGAATCTCAACAAAAAATGGTCGTATTCAAAGTTGTAAAGTCTGATTGTGAGATGAATGGCGACGATTCAAACCAATCAACAGAGGTGATAGGGTTTTTTTTTTGTCTCTGCATTTTGACCTACTATCTATTTATTTTTTTATAGCCAAATGTTGTTGAAATTTGCGAAGTCAAAATCGAGGAAGATGGAAGCATCAGTGAGCGAAAACAGGGAAATGATAGTGACATCGAGGATGAGTCTCAAGAAATTTTGTTCGAGTCGGTTATCGAACCCGATGGCACTGTGCATTTTTCTGCTGACGAGAAACAAGCAGTCGAGATTGATGGAATCAGTGACGAAGAGGTATATCCGGACCAAGATGATTCAGAAGATTACCAACCTCCGAAATATGACGCTAAAGGAATTAGACGCACGTTCACGGAGAAACCTCCGGTAATAACCGATATAAGAAGCCGCGGTCGGATTAAAAAAGAAAAGCCAATAAAACCGATATCGGAGAATATGTAAGAAGCAATTTAACCTGTTATCTCGTGACACATTTCATTGTTTAAAATATTTTCAGAATCGTGTTGGATTTGGAAGCGCAGCAACGTGAAATAGACGAACAGCGTAGTGTTTTCGAGTTAAACGTGCACAATATTTCGGTGGACTGTTATCGCTGTGTTCATTGTCCGATGCAGTATGTCAGTCCGTTCATGGTAGGACGACATTTGGAGAATGATCATGGTATTGTACTAAGAGAGTTACTCAAAACTCTAAGATATGATCGAGAGTATACTGGAGAAAGAAAATACGCATGCCGGTACTGTAGTCGCATGTATGTCAATGAAAGAGCACTCGAAAAACACGTGCTATTGCATGGCCCTGATGGTAAACTTATGCACAAGTGCACATGCTGCCCAAAGCACTTTGCGACACCAGATGAAGTCCGTCGTCATGCAATCGATGATCATGCCGGTTATTTGCAGTGCCAAATTTGTGGTAAAGTTTTTCCGAAACATTGTACACTTAGAAAACATATGAGGCAGATTCATGAAGGACAACAGAATCGTAAACAATATCACTACGTTTGCCCTAAGTGTGGAAAATCTTACTCTTCTCGAGGATCGGTTTCTGATCACGAGCGATCGCAGTGCGGCAAGAATCCTATCTATCAATGCGACATTTGTGAGAAAAGTTTTCACACCGCTTCGTCACTAAAGATCCACTACACTGTCCACAGCAACGAGCTACCATTTTCATGTCAATACTGTGGAAAAGGCTTCCGATCAAGAGGACAGGTAAAGGTGCACGAGCGTCAACATACGGGCGAGAAACCTTTCCAATGTGAATATTGTCCAAAAGCATTTGGCCACCGCGAATCGCTACATACTCATCGTTCTTCTCACACGGGAATCAAACGCTACATGTGCTCCGGATGTGGTCAAAGATTCGCTTGCGTTTCCAACCTGCAATGTCACCGACGCTCTCACAAAGATACATGTGGAATGGTACCGAAGGTTTCCCGAGTCACGGGTCCGGACGGCTATCACGAGCTGCCAGAAGGCTATGTGCTGCCGTTCCCAAAGTTTTTCGTATCGGATGATAATGAAATACCTGTTTCAGATTAAAATTGAGGAAACTTAAAGTAAAGCTACATAAAACATAAAATTATAGAGAGCCATTTTTAGACTACACGGAAATAAAAAACAATCCAAAATTAAGTTCATTTCACTCATATCCTATGTTCCGTGCGATTAATCCACACCGAGAGAACAGCTGCTGCTGCCTGTTGTATAGGCAACAGTGGAAAAGACACTCGATAGTATCCCACTTGTGCACCAATATAGTTTTCTAGGAACTTAATACTTTTTTAATAGATGTTGCTACTTTTTACACTGCTCCCCTTCCCCGCGTGCAAAAATCTATAAATTTGAAAGAAAAAAAAAGTATGGACCGTGCACACTTGTACAGTGAATACTCCCCCTCCACTGTGAGCCTAAGGTACACCGATTTCACTATTCAATATTATCCTATGTATGATTTGACTGATTTTTATTTTTAAGTGTAATTGGTCGAAAGATGCCGTAATGGCTTTGTTCATGGCAAGGTCAACAAAACAGCATGCTTTATATAAAAATAAGCATGCCAGACAGTAGGTCTGAGAGCCTACTAAGATTTTGTTTAGCGCTTCAGAGAGGTTCGGAGATGTACTAAGAAATTTGTTGAGCCTCAGGGTAGATCGTAGATCTTGAACTACAAAACTTCAGAAAATTTGACATACATTGACAAGAAATTCGCAGAGCTTCAGACAAGTCCTAAAATCTACAGTAAAATGTAAAAAATTTCGCAGAAGTTTGGAGATCTACTGAAAAATTATTGAACATCAGAAAAGTTCGTAGTTATTCAAAACAAAGCTACAGAACATTCAAAAAAAAAAAAAAAATTACAGAGCTTCTGAAAAAATCACATGAATGATTACCATGGATCTTCAGTTAAATTTAAAGGCCTTCAAGAAAGTGTGCAGATTTTCTGATACGTTTTTAAAATCTCAGAAATTGTAATGAATCTTTAGTGAAATTTGCCGAACTTTAGGGAAGTTCGACGATTTTTCAAAAAAAAAAATATTCATACGATTTCAGAGAAACTTGTAAATCTTGAGAGAAATATTTAAAACCTCATATGTTTTTAGATAAATTTTGAGAACCTTAGGTAATTTCGAAGATCTTAAGATGAATTTTCAGATCTTCAGGGTAGCCCGAGAGTATACAGATGAATTTACATAACTTCAAAGATGTTTTCAGATGAGAAATTTATAGAGCCTCAAGGTAATTCTTCAAACTTGAGAATAGAACTACGGAGCTTCAGACAACTTTACAGAACTCTTAAAGGTATTTGCAGAACTTCAGAAGATTAGAATTAAATGAAATCTGCAGACCTTCAAGGAATTTTGCAGATCTTCAGAGACATTCAGTGGTTCAGACAGCTTCACAGTTTCAAGAAAATTTAAGATCTTCAGAAAATTCATGAAATTTCAGAAAAATACTTCAATTTCAAAAACATATCTAAGCCATGTACGAAAGTCCACGATTTTGCAAAACTCCATGGAAGTTGGAAATAGATAGATCTGAAGAACTTCAGAGAAGTCCGCAGACCTTAAGGAAAGTCTGTAGAACTTCAGGAAGTTCATACATTTTTAGAAAAAATTGCATAACTTCAGCAAAACTCACAGAACTTCGGGAAAGTTCGCCGATCTTTAGAAGTATTTACACAATTTCAGAGAAATTCGTAAATCTTCAGAGACATTTTTAAAACCTCAGCGAAGTTCAAATATGTTCAGATAATTCGTAGAGCTTTGGAAGATTTCAAATAATTTCAGTTAAATCTGCAAAACTTTAATGAAGTCCAATAATTCACAAATAAATTTACAGAACTTAAGAGAAGTTCGAAGATCTACTGAGAAACTTATTGAACTTCAGGACAGTTCGTAGATCTTCAGAGCAGAAATACAGTACTTCAGAAAATTTAACAGAATTTTAATGAAATTTTTGAAACTTCAGAAAAGTTCAGATGGTAGATCGTTAATCTACTGAAATTTTTTCAGAATTTGATTGAGGTTCTCGGATTTAGAGAGAAATTTACAGATCATGAAAACCAACAGATAAAATTACAGAACTTTCGAGAAGTTCGTAGATTATTAGAAATTTAGTGAACATCAGAAATAATTGTTGATATTTAAGCATCTTCAATCTGCATAGATTCAGGAACTTTGTAGATTTTTAGAGAAATTTGCAGAACTTCTGAAGGACGCACCAAACTTCAAAGAAATCTGCAGAACTACCTCAGGAAATTTTGTTGATCTTTAAAGATGTTTTACCAGAGAACAGAAACTAAATTTCAGGGACTTCCGAAGGTCTTCAGAGAATTTTTATTAGGACCTTTTTCGGCTTCATATTGGCGTTGACGACTCTGTAGCTCTTTACTCCTATGAGAAAATCCATAAGCAGACTGTGCGTGAAACATGGCGGACTTTGTACTATCCTTTCATTACACCGAAAGGTCCCATAAGAAACTGTTTATATTTGCTGGAAGAGCAAATTTTTCGACGGTGCCGTCAACACCAATTGCAGTTCTTGAAAGACAAGATAAGCCAGATCCCTGCCGGTGTTCCTCCAGAGCAACTATTTCCTACTCTACAAAGTTCACCTTCTCCTCATTTTATTTAAAATAATAAAAGTAAAAACGCCTGCCGAAGCTAGAGCAATTTTCCGATAGTTCATTATAGAAGTATTTACTTTGGATTCCTGATACAGTTTTGTTTAGAAATCTAAATTGACAGTTCTTTCGACATGTGCAAGTAGTGTAAACACCAGCAAACAGGGGGGTTTGACAAAATGTGTCGAAAGTAAAATCGAGCAGATTTTTCATTTGTCAAAATTAGACCAAGAAATCAGATCCCTAATAAACGGGTACCATGCACAAACGATATCATAGATGGTATGACAATACCACATAAAGTTGGGATGATATCCCGAATTGGTGGTTAGGCGCTTCTTATGGTTATTGTTTATGCGGGATAGTCTTAATAGACCTTTAGTAGGGAAGTAGACAGGAATTAGATCAAAACCCCATTCACAATAAATTCTTTTTGTTGGTTTGTATGAAATTCGATCGAATTATTTTTTCTCAGTGTATGGTTTCCATACACTGAAACAAAGACCATAGTTAGGAATACTATTTTGCAGAAAACACTTATTTTCAATATAACTACGCTTAATGCCGTTAAATCTACCATAATTTCAGTATAGTTGACTAAAAATATAATCAAATTTACTACCATTCTGTCAAAACTACTATGCTTACTCAAACGGCATAGTAGTTTTGATAGAAAAAATAGTAAAATTAAATGAATTTCGTTTCTGCACAAATCTATTGGTGGGAGTATTTAATTTAAACCACCAATATAGTATTTTTGCCAATAGATTTTGTTTCTGTGTAGCATTCTTATGCAAATTACAGGTCAAGTATTTTTTTAAATTATTATTATTGAGATTTTTAGCAGTAATGAATTCCATACGAAACGCTTCTACATGTCATACGAGGCTGCAATAAACTTTATTAGTTGATCTTCACGGTGTTTCGCAGAAACCCATTAATGGGTATAAAAACACCCATTTCTGCTAAAAGTGCCCCTCCTCATTAAATGGGTAAACTATGGTTTACTCATTAATGGGTAAATGGGTGGTCTGTCAATAAATGGGTGTTTTTTTTACCCATTTTCTTAAATTGTGTTTACCGTAAAATGGATGAAAAAATACCCATTTTTTCAAAAGGAGAACGCAAGCGCTTGGTTCTTTGTCTTTGTTGTTATAAAAAACTTTCTAATACATTGAAAATAAATGCAGGTGTTCCGATCAAATTTTATTACACGAAATATTATGATACAATATGGTGTATGAAATTGTATTTACTCATCCGTAAGCCTCTCCTACGTTCCGGATTCTAATCTTTTCCGGAGATCTCCCATTTTCGCTAAAAAGCTGCGGACAGTAACTATTTGCATTCCCAATGAATCGGTGACAGAAATGAGACGATAAAATTTCAAAGTGTTTTTTCACCCATTAGTGGGTAAAAAATATACCCATTATTCAACCGTGAACTGATTCTTTAAATGGATATTTTTTCACCCATTTTATTATTTCAAAATTCCCCCATTTTTTGACAGCTGCATACATGGTTTGAAAATGGGTATTATTTTTACCCATTAATGGGTTTTCACGAAACACCGTGTTGTGTGAAAAAAAAAAATCATAAGTCGTTTGTATGAAACGCTCGTATCATGTGAACGATATGGCATAGTAGATACAAATAAAGGGCGAACACGAAATTATTGCGACACCGAAAATGTCATGCCAATTTTCTTATAATGTTTAGAATCAAACCAAAATTTTAGGGTATTTTTATACATATATTTACTTCAAAAATCAAAAGAAAAGTTAATCGATGGAGCCTTGAGTGTAAAATTGAACGCATTTTCGCTTGATGCCCTCCATCAAAGTCTTCAGTGTCATCCGGTACCAGTTTCTCAGTTTTTTTTTCCATTTTCTTAACATGTCCTTCTCGTCTTTGACTGTCTTCTTGCTCTTCCGAAGTTCCCGCTTCATTATTGCCCAGTACTGCTCCACCGGGCGCAGCTCCGGACAGTTTGGCGGATTCATGTCCTTTGGAACAAAATGGACAGAATTGGCCTCATACCACTCCAGGACACTTTTAGAATAGTGGCATGATGCCAAATCTGGCCAAAATAGCGGAGCTTCGTCGTGCTGCTGCAAGAACGGCAAAAGGCGCTCCTCGAGGCACTCAGATTTGTAGATCTCGCCATTTGATTTACTGTGCCCTTTGTCACGAAAGGCTCACTCCTCAGTCCGCAAGAGCAGATGGCCTGCCAAATGAGATATTTGGAGGCGAACTTCGACATTTTCTTCTTCTTAAATTTGTCGTCCACATCGAACTTGCTCTTGCCAGTGAAAAACTCTAACCCCGGAATTTGCTTAAAATCGGCTTTTATATACGTTTCGTCGTCCATCACACAGCAGCCATATTTTGTCAGCATCTTCTCGTAGAGCTTCCGTGCCCGAGTTTTAGCCGTCGATTGTTGCCGCTCATCGCGGTTTGGGAAGTTCTGTACCTTGTATGTATGTAGTCCAGCTCTCTTCTTTGCATTCTGGACGTAGCTCTGCGACATGCCGATCTTTTTAGCCAAATCACGGCTTCAGACGTTGGGATTTGCTTTAATCATCCGCTTCACCTTTCCCTCCGTCTTTTTGTTCTCCGGTCCCGGTTTTCTTCCAGCTCCTTTGCCGTGGTCCAACGTCAACCGCTCCTGGAACCGCTTCAACACTCTGGAGACGGTTGAATGGTGAATGTTCAACATTTTTCCCAACTGCCGGTGCGACAGGTCAGGAAATTCCAGGTGTTTGGAAAGAATTTGTTCTCTCAACTCGCGTTGGTTCACCTCCATTTTCGTTGAATCGAAAAACACGACTTCGAGTTTGGCAGCATGTACACAATACACATCAATGAGAAAGTGTGCAACATTTGGTTGATTTTTACCCAATGGTAAAAAAGTTATGCCCTGTTGAATGTGTCGCAATAATTTCGTGTTCGCCCTTTAGCGTATCCCAAAGTTCTGGTGGGCTGAATTCAAATATAATAAAAACGCTAAATTCATTATAAAACGTATCGGTTTCATCTGGAAGTACGATTTGATTTCGGCGTGGATTGTGGACTGGTGAGTTAACTATGAAGTACTCCACAGAATCTGTCTAATATCATATTCCAGACAATCCGCAATTCCGCAATAGGTCACGGGCACAACTTAGTTGAAATTGGAGCCTGTGGCATCAATAGACAAAGATTGTAGTCTCAGCGCGAGTAAAATGTTCAAGTAACTATATAAGTGCTTTGAATTGTAACACAAATTTATATTAAGAACATCGTTGATATTCATAGAATCAATATTAATTTATGTATGGCTAATTTTGTTCAATGAAAATAAAACAAACAATACGTATTCAAAGTGTTTTTTATGTTACTTCATACGCGAAGTTAACGATTTTCAGAGTTGGTTGGAAATGCTAACATGAAGCTTTAGTGTGATGATTTATTAGCTAGAGAATGATCTTTAGAAGAGGGTAGGTGGATAGTTCCGTTAGAGTACGGCAGTATGAAAATTGAATAGAAGTTGAAAATGAGCGAAGGGCCATTAAAGCGACAGTTTACAAGATAGACGCACATTTTTGCCTAGCCCGTACGATGTACGCGGGGACTTGAAGTATGTCTCCAAGTCCACAGGCAAAAATGTGCGTCCCTCCTGTTGCTCATAAACTGACTGCGGCTGTGGAATAGTTCTAGCGACGTTTTCATCACTACCTAAAGCCCCACGTTCTCTGTTCTCTAGCTAATAAATCATCACACTAAAGCTTCATGTTAGCATTTCCAACCAACCCCAAACAATACGTAGTTAAGTGGGTTTAAATCTTTAAATGTATTTAATTTACTAGCAATAAACGAACATCTGACGCACAGGTTTATTCACAATGAAGCTCATGATCATTTCAATGAACCACTTCATTCGAGCAGTTAAAATAACGTTTACTACCACTCGAACTTTGAAATAAAACATTATTTTGAGATTTTTTCTTCTAGAACCTCGAGAAAAGTAGCCAACATTTGTGCGTTTCATAAAAAAATAGAAATTAGTTCGTCCAGTTTTGTGAAATCGCTGGTAGAAAGTCACGCCAAAACTGCTTGACAAAGTGGTCAATTGCATTTCGTATTCCGCGCGTTTACAATTCATACGAATATAATGTAAATTTTATACTCATTACGAATCATTTTCATATGACATCTCTATGAAATCAATGTTATTTTATTGAAAAAATCATAAATAATAACAGGTTTGCGTTCCTTTTGCCATCGAATGGAATACAAAATAATTTCTTTTGGTTAAATTCCATAAGCATTTCGTATGAAATTCGTTCGAGTTATTTCCTCACACTGAGGCAAATAGACCTAAGAATTTCATAAGGCTCGACTTATGAACAACATATATTAATTTCATAAACGTGACTTATGAATGATGTTCGGGTAACATGAGGTAGCTCTTATACGCCTTTAACCATTCCATTTTCTCAAGCGTTGAAAGACGAGTGGTCAACACACGTACTCCCTAACCTCAAGGTCCATTTTCCGATTCCAGTCTGATCAGATTAATTATTTTTTTGTCAACATTATTTTTCGTAAGGCACATCAATGAAATTCACACTGATTTCTTATGGCTAAAATTCATAAGTGTTTCTTATAGAATTCTAACGTTCTTTTGCCTGGGTGCAGTGTGGTAAATAACTAAAGCCTCTAAATATATTTATGATAGTTACCGTGGTTATCAAATGTGCGGATGTTGTACATGGATAAAGAAGTAAATTTTGCAGGCGATTCATTCCATCAACTGAAGGGAAGTATATAAAATGCTTCTTTATCAAATAAAAGAAAATATGCAACATATTATATTAATCCATGTTATTAGTATTTTCCGGAAGTTATTAAGCGTCGCCCTTTCCCTATAGTACATCAAATTTAAACTTTTAACTCTTACGCTTGATTTGCAGAGTTCACATCGAGTCCAATTGTGGCACAGAAAAGAAACACAAGTGCAGCGAGTGTAACTCGTTGTACCTGACTCAAGCATCGCTGAATGCCCACATCATCAAACATGTGGGGGAAAAGAGACACTTGTGCGACTACTGTGGCGCCAGCTTCCTCAACAAGGGTCAACTCAAAGTGCACGAAAGAATGCATACCGGAGAAAAACCCTACAAGTGCAATGTAAGTTTTTAGAAAGGTAGGTATTTTATTGTCGAACATAATTCATAGATTTTACCACATTACAGCAATGCGATAAAGCATTTGCCCACAGGGAAAGTTTGATAACTCATTCTACGACCCATTCTGGCATCAAGCCTTATTACTGCAGCTTCTGTGAAAGTCGCTTCTCCTGTATCGGTAAGTTGACAACGTGGTTGACAGATTTAAAATGTGCGCGGTTAATGAAAACGACCCAAATTTGAGTTTAGTTTACTTATAATCGCCAAAAGTGCAGGAAATCAGCGATGAGTAAATTTGCCTCATGGTTTTAATATATACTGAGTGAATTCAATCTTTACTTTTCTCATATTCGGGAAGTTTTTCCTGGACAAACCGCTGAGTGATTTATGAGTTAAATAAACTCAAATTTGGGTCGTTCTCATGCGCCGTGCGTTATTTTTATCATCATTATTATTATGTATAGGCAATCTTCTCAAACACCGACGAGCCCGTCCGGATACCTGTGGATTACCGCAACATTGTTTGACCAATAAGATTGTCGCACGACCAAACATAAAAAGTAAGTCATTTGTTTTTTTTTATACTTCAACCAGCATTTTTTTCTATGCCCTTTATATTTTCCAGCGATGCCTAATCTTACTGATCGTTCCGTGTACACCAGTAAAGTAGTGCAACGCTCGGGACCGTCTAGACCTCGTAAACCCAAAGTCACCGATGACAGCGTAGACGTGAAGTCATTGGATACCAAGAAGCCTCTAAGACGAGTGCCAACGAAATCAAAAAAGCCCGTTGTAGAGGATGTGGACAGTGATTCGTCAGAGGAATCACCGGACGAGATGAAACCAAATATATCAGCGATAAATGTCCAAGCTCAAGAACTCAAAGAGTCGGAATCTCATCAAAAATTGGTCGATTTAAAAGTTGAACATGATGATGATGAGATGCATGATGATAAAAGCATTTCGAAGGTCGAGTATGTGGAGGTAAGACATTGACTTTAAATGCCCATGTAATGTTTCTCGTTTTAAAATCCCATTGATTCTTTAGCAACTCGATAACATTGAAGTTGTTGAGATTAAAATCGAGGAGGATGACATTTTCATCGAAGAAGATGCCTATAATATGGTGGAAGATGTCTCACAAGAAATTTTGTACGAGACCGTTATAGAACCAGAGGAAATTGTAGGTTTTCCAGAAGAGCCTGATGAAGAGAGTGACGACGAAGAGATTCACGACGAACAGATTCACGACGAAGATGACTCACCGGATTATCAACCTCAGCCGCATTATGACGGAAAAGGAATAAGACGTACATTCTCAAAGAAACCTCCGGTAATAACCGAAAAAAGACGCCGTGGTCGACCGAGAAAAATTTCACAGCCGAAACCGGAATCGGAGAACATGTAAGATGAATTTTAATGTTACGAATGAAACCCCTATTTGATTCTTTGAAACCTTTTCAGAATTGTGTTGGACCTGCAAGAGCGGCAGCGTGAGTTGGACGCACAGCGTTCTATTTTCGAAGAAAATGTTTACACCCTTAGTGTAGACTGTTATCGTTGTGCCCACTGCCCCATGCAGTATAGCAGTTCATACCTGGCCGGACGACATTTGGAGAAAGATCATCAAATTGTACTGAAAGAGTTGCTTAAAACACTTCAGTACGATAGAGTGTTCACTCGAGAGAGGAAATATCTATGCCGGTACTGCGAACGTCCATATGCAAACGAAAAGGCTCTCGAGAAACACGCGCTGCTTCATGGACCGGATGGAAAACTTCTTCACAAATGCTCTTGCTGTACAACTCACTTCGAGACAGAAGAAGAGGCCCGTCAACACGCTATGGAAGTGCATCGCGATCGATTGCAGTGCCTAATGTGTGACAAATTGTTCAAGGAACCTGAATCACTCGCTGGACACGTAAAGCTGTACCACAAAGGTCAGAGATATACGAAGAAATCGTATTACGTTTGTCCAAAGTGTGGCAAAGCTTTCTCCTCTCGAACGGCAGTTTCTGATCACGAGCGATCCCAATGCGGTAAGAATCCGTTCTATCAATGTGAGATGTGCCAGAAATGCTTCCACAGCGCTCCGTCACTGAAGAACCATTACACTTTGCACACTAACGAGCTCCCATTTTCCTGTCAATACTGTGGAAAAGCCTATCGAACGAAAGGTCAGGTGAAGGTTCATGAGCGACAACATACGGGCGAGAAACCTTTCCACTGTGACTTTTGTCCGAAGGCGTTTGCTCATCGCGAATCGTTGCAAACGCACCGTTCCACGCACACGGGAGTTAAACGCTTCATGTGCTCCGGATGTGGGCAAAGATTCACTTGTGTGTCCAACTTGCAAGCTCATAAGCGCTCTCATAAAGATACATGCGGAACGGTCCCGAATGTTTCCCGAGTCACAGGATCGGACGGCTATCACGAACTGCCAGACGATTATGTACTCCCATACCCTAAGTGTGAGGTCGTAGAATAGACGCGAACTATGTAGTTTTAGCTTTGATAAAAGTGGTAATAAAATAGATAAAAACCAACTGTCGGTATCAGTGTTGTGATCTATTTTAATACATTCCCTAAAAAGTAGCCTAAAATGTGTTTATCGACGTGTTTAGGGTGATTGTGCTACATTTCCCCGAATGCCAATTTCCTCGAATGTAATTTCCTCGACTGAAATCCAAAAATTTATAAAATACTTTGATTGTATTACATTTCTTAGGTTGGTTTCGCGAGCATTAAGAAGACATCTTTGAATATTGCAACAATTAACCTTAAAAGAACAGCTCATGATTAAAAGAAGGGAAGATCTCTGTTCAAAGTAAATCAATGGGGCGAGAGTTTTGGTGAGACGGCGGCAGTACCAGAAGTGGAAGTGTAAAAATTGGTAATATATTTTTAGGACATTTTCCCTTATTTTATACATGAGCAGTTTTTTCGAGAACTTTGGCAAAACTAATATCGATGATTTGACAGATTGGTAATAAATTTTTAGGAGATTTTCTTTTTAAATTTATTTAGGAGATTTTCAGCCGTAGACGTATTTTATCATTCTTTTATAAATGTATTTTTCGTAAACTTTCTCAAAACTTGTGAGATTGACGGTTTGACAAATTGGTAATGTATTTTGAGGAAATTTTTCCCTCTTTTATAAACGAGCAGTCTTCCGAGAACTTAGACAATATGTGTGGTCGATGGATTTAAAAATTGATAACATAGTTTTACCAGATTTTTTCTTTTATAAATTCAAATCGAGGAATTTGGCAAAACTTGTGAGCTATATGATTTGACAAATGAATCGAGGAATGCTGTGAGTTTTACACTCACAACTACTGACAGCATAATGCCACCTTCTATGGACGAAAAGTTAAACTGAAAAATAATGTATGCAGATTTCAACATTTTTATTAAATTTTCGTTTATGGAGACGAAAAAGAGAAAAAAATATTTGGTACAGAAGGTGGCTTATATTATGGCGCAACACCCATAATATAAGCCACCTTCTGTACCAATATTTTTTTAAAGGGACAAGAAAAAGGCTCTAATTTAATAAAATAAACATGTTTCGGTTTTCTGCGTACAAAACAAATCGCCATAACTTCTGTTTATTACTGTCACCTGTTGAAATTTGGTTGCAATAATTTTCGAAACAAGTTTTGCTAAATTTCCCGAAAGAACTGCTTATGTAAAAAAGTAGGAATAAAAATATTTTACCATTTTGTCAAACCATCGATCTCTCATGTTTTTCCAAAGTTCTCGAAAGAATTGCTCGTAAATAAAAGAAGGCAAAATCTCCTTAAAATTTATAACCAATTTGTCAAACCGACGATATTTTGCCAAATTTTTTGTGCTTTTTGGTTTTGGTCTGTCTTTTTGGTTATGGATTATTATTCTATATATAAAAATGAAAATGCTTTTAACGGCTCAATACATTAATATAGGGGAAAGAGGGGCATAGTGAGCATCATGTGCTTTGGCAATGCGTTTCTAGCTACTCGAAGCAAATTAATTGGTAGTTGGGTTAATCTCATAAACCTTCCATTTGCATGGCTTGAAATTTAATCTGGTTTGCAATCTGCTCACTATGTTCAAAATATAGTAAGAAAATTGTCAGCAATAATGGTTGGAAATTTCTTAACTTTTTTTTCGGGGATATGGCATTCGGGGAAATGGCACATTCGGGGAAACGGCATTCGGGGAAATGGGTATTCGGGGAAATGGCGTTCGGGGAAGTGACATTCGGGGAAACGACATTCGGGGAAATGTAGCACAATCGTTTAGGGTAGGTATCATCCTGTATCATTCAGCATCCAAATGTTAGGTGGAATAGGTTTTATCTCTACACACTTAATCTAGCTCGGTAAAATCTCCAACAGCCGATTACCTCGGCATTTACTTTTGCTGATATCTCCGAAAAATATCTGTTTGTTAGCTGATATCTCAGCAAAATGTTATTTGTTAGCTGAGTCTCGGCAATTGTTTTACTGAATCTCAGCAAAATAAATTGCAGAACTACTCGGCTGTTGGAATCTCGGCGAAACATTTTAAGTGTGTATATTTACCGTTTATTTGTGGTTCTTATTTACTAGTAGGGTTCTTTTTTTTTCAAAATATCAACGCACCATGGAGGTGCAGCTCCTAAATTTGATGTCATGCTGACTAACTTATCCCAATATGCAATTTCCTGGTTTCCCCCGTTTTTTGCAGGAATTTTGGCATTTTTCCCAGTTGTGCGCCACCCAAGCAACCAGTCTTCACGTAAACATGCACGGCGCTGAGCGTGAGTTCAAATTTCAGAAGTACAAGTTCATTCAAAGCGCGTGTTCTCTCTCAGGCTCATGTTTACACACGCACATCGAACTTGAGAGAAATGAACAACACCTGGGGATGAGCGCAGCGTAAATGAACTCAGGCTTGATGTTTCGTGCTTGCGCCTGTGCTCGAGTGGACTGTCTAAGACCATTATTAGCCGTGCAGAATCATGAAGTTTGATATGTCGCACGAAGGATTTTGGTTCTTCTCGATAATTGAAAATATACCCGGGAACACCGGAACATGGAACGTGGGCTCTCAAAAAGACCATTACTGGCCGAGTTCAGCAGAATCATAAAGTTTGATATGTCGCATGATGTGTTTTGGTTCTTGTGGAGAATCGGTCACTTGCCCGGGGACACAGAAACATGCCTGAGAGGGCTAGTGTGACCGTGGAGTCTCATTAAGACCATTACCAGTCAAAATTTGGAAAATCATGAATCTTGATATGTCGCACGATGGGTTTTTGGTTCTTGTTGAGAATTGGCCACTTCTCCGGGGGCACCGGAACATGTCTGGGAGGGCACGTGTGACCATGGACTTTCAATAAGACCATTACTGGCCAAGATTTGTAAAATCATGAAGTTTGATATGTCGCACGATGGGTTTTGTTCTTGTTGAGAATTAGCCACTTCCCCGGGGGCACCGGAACATTCCCGGAAGGGCTAGTGTGACCATGGACTTTCAATAAAGCCATTACTGGCCAAGATTTGTAAAATCATGAAGTTTGATATGTCGCATGATGGGTTTTGGTTCTTGTTGAGAATTGGCCACTTCCCCGGGGCACCGGAACATTTCCTGGATGCCCAATATGATTGTGAACCGTCGGAATAGCTGCCACTGGTCCAATTACGTCGTTTAAGAGAAAAAAAACATGATGTTCATCGTGTGTATACTAATTACAGAATGCCGAATGCCGACCAAAAGTGACCCCAACGGGAACCGAAATAACTCTGGAACCATGAATTGATCAGAATATTTTCAGATATATTCAGAAACTTCATCAGATTTCCGAAAAAATGCAATTTGTTGTAAAGAAAAATGAAATTATGTTTTTAGAGCTAATTGAATTTTGAAATCTATGCAAATTTAGACGTTAGGCACGCAAAGGTTAACATAATTTTCTATTGTAATTCTGTTTTCGTTCACATCCACCAAATTAAATTAGTTATTTCTTAGGTTGAACTAGGTAGCACAAACAAACATTACTTTCATTGTCGCATTCTCCGGTGCTTTGACAGGGGCGTGATCCATTGCCCTGCCAACACCTCGGCAGTATTGAAAGCCGACTACATTTCCAATCACGAACCGATCGTTGCACGTGAATTGGCACCAATCACCAACGTAGAGTTCCTCGTAGGTCCCGGGAGATGTATGTTTAAAGGGTCTATTCTGAAGTCATAACAGCGGACATTATCCTTAACGTAGCAAAAGGGCCTGTGAAATTTTTGTTTCAAGGACCAATAACGAAAGGGTCTAACGGTACGCTGGGGGAAATTTAAGTGCATTTCTCGTTGTACATTAATGGAGTTAATGTACTTAATTTATGCGACTTGTAATTAAAGCTGAAATTTGTACTTAAAAGTAATTAAATCAAAAAATTTCCGACGCTCGTAATTAAAGTAATTTATCATGTAGTTAACTGTAATTATTGTACTTAAAAAAGGCTTGCGTAGGAGTTAGAGGTTATTGCGTGCCCCTCGAGTCGGCACCAAGGTGGTGCTCCGTACCAAAGCGGAGTATGACTTGGTCGTCGCCCACCTGAGGACTTCCAAGGTGGAATTCTTCACCCACGACATTCCCGGTGAGAAGCCATTCAAGGTCGTCATTAGGGGCCTACCAAACTTCGACCCGAGGTTTATCGAAGCTGAAATCAGAGACCGGTACAAGCTGGCCCCAAGTGCCGTCTATCAGATGACAAGGAAGGACGAAAATGTGAAGGCGTATCCGGATAGCCTTTTCCTGGTACACTTCCAGAAGGGAACGGTGACGCTCAACGCGCTGAAGGCCATCCGTTCCATCAATTCCATCATCGTCCGCTGGGAGCCATACCGTGGCGGCTATCGTGATGTGACTCAGTGCCAACGGTGTCTGAACTTTGGACACGGCACCCGCAACTGAAACATTAAGCCACGCTGTGGCAATTGCGCTCAAGACCACGCCACTTCCGACTGCCCTGCGGATGGAGCCGTGGAGTTAAAATGCGCCAACTGTGGTGGTGCTCACCAAGGTTCCGACAGACAGTGCTCCAAACGCGAGGACTTCAAACGCATCCGAAAACAGGCGGCAACTAACAACCAACCAGGACGCAAGAAGGACAAAGTCCCGGCATTTCGGACGGAGGATTTCCCGCCTCTTCGTGCTCCTCAGCAAAGGCAAGCGAATTCGCGGGTGCATTCCGGTCAAGCAACTTCTGGTGATTCTGCTGGCCAAAGCTCTCCATCCCCCCCTGGATTCTGGAGACAACCACCAGCGCAAAACAACAACCCCGATCTGTTTTCAGCGGATGAACTGATGGAAATTTTCGTCAACATGACCGGTGCTCTACGTAAGTGCCGCAATAAGCCCGAACAGATCCAAGTGCTCGGTAAGTTCATCATCCAGTATGGTGTCTAAACCTCTAACCATCCTCCGCAAGCATAGCATCGACGTGGTTCTTCTAACCGAGACCCACCTAAAGTCCGGTGACAGCTTCTGGTTGC